TCACCACTGCAAAAATGTCAAAGGAAATTGACAAGCCCAGCGTGTATGGAGGCTATTTCAATTGTAATCTGCCGTCGCATTTCTAAGGCGCAATGATACAACTATTCGAACTCTCCGGAATGCGTGAGGTATCACGCCTCATTTGAAGGCGTTTTCAAGACGGCCAAGTTCCGATACCCGGATTATCGTTATGAATAGTTCATATTCTTTTGTTTCGTTCCGTACCACTTGATTATTTTTAATCCTCGTATAAAAACCACCCATTTGCTAAATACAATTCTAGCTGGAGCGCACTTCAGCTATGCATTCACCACTACAAAAATGTCAAAGGAAATTGACAAGCCCAGCGTGTATAGAGGCTATTTCAATTGCCTTCTGCCGTCGCATTTCTGAGGCGCAATGATACAACTATTCGAACTCTCCGGAATGCGTGAGGTAACAAGCCGCATTTGAAGGCGTTTTCAAGACGGCCAAGTTCCGATACACGGATTATCGTTTTGCAAAGTTCTAATTCTTATGTTTGATTTCCTACCATATGTTTGTTTTCAATCCTGCTATAAAAACTACACTGAAAAAAAAGGATTGCTAATTCACCGATTTAGGGTGGAGCAAAATTTGCTTTACTTCAAAAAGCTTTCTTATCCGTGCACGGTGTTGAATCAAGTGAACGACTAGCACGAATTGCTACACCGATTTGCTACATCTGCGCGCCTTCATGCAGTTAATCTTGCATCGAGTGGCTTGGACGTGTAACTGCATTTTTTGGTATTGGTACTTTGCGAACAGTAAAAATAGCACAATAGGTCAGGCTGAAATAGCGGAAATTAACGGAAAAATTGCGAAATTTACGGAAGAATAACTAAAAAGGTAACAGACGTAGCTTTTCAGAGAGCAAAATCACCTACACGCATGTGTGTAAGTTAGGTGAAATTTGTGGAGCGATTTTACCTGCATGGTTTGCACGTTCGTTTTTTAGCTACACCATGCCATGAAATTCCCGCGTGCACGGCAATTTCAGCAATATTTTTTTTTCAGTGATACTCGTTTGCTGAATACACTTCTAGCTGGAGCGCACTTCAGCTACGCAGTCACCACTGCAAAAATGTCAAAGGAAATTGACAAGCCCAGCGTGTATGGAGGCTATTTCAATTGTAATCTGCCGTCGCATTTCTAAGGCGCAATGATACAACTATTCGAACTCTCCGGAATGCGTGAGGTATCACGCCTCATTTGAAGGCGTTTTCAAGACGGCCAAGTTCCGATACCCGGATTATCGTTATGAATAGTTCATATTCTTTTGTTTTATTCTGTACCACTTGTTTATTTTTAAAACTCGTATAAAAACCAGCCATTTGCTGAATACAATTCTAGCTGGAGCGCACTTCACCTATGCATTCACCAATGCAAAAATGTCAAAGGAAATTGACAAGCCCAGCGTGTATGGAGGCTATTTCAATTGTAATCTGCCGTCGCATTTCTAAGGCGCAATGATACAACTATTCGAACTCTCCGGAACGCGTGAGGTATCACGACGCATTTGAAGGCGTTTTCCAGGCGGGAAAGTTCCGATTCCCGGATTATCGTTTTGCAAAGTTCTCATGCTTATGTTTTATTTTCTACCATTTGTTTGTTTTCGATCCTCCTATAAAAACTCTCGATTTTACTGGATTTCCGATGGTAAAAAAAAAATATCGAGATGAGTATCGAATTTTATGTTTTTCGAGGCGTAGAATCGATTCCACGTAGTCTCGAGCCTTGCCGGAACTTGCTGGGCCGAGAAATGGTCAAAAACGATCGTTTTTCGCCGTTTCGAGCATGCTTGAATATCCGCGGTTATCCGCGATTGTCAAGGCGGGTCGACTCTTGGAGCGTTTTGGACCACAAATTCGGACTCCTCGTCTCATTTTACCGACGACTAGCATCATTTTCGCCCGATCGGAGAACTATCGATTTTGACCGGAAAATTTTAGTCCATGTAACCCCTGTCGATTTTACTGGATTTCCGATGGAAAAAAAATTCAAGATTACGACGGTGTGAGTCGGCAATGACATAACTCGTTTGCGGTGTCGGAAAATGAAGTGACATCATTCCTAGAAGTTTAAACAGAATTTTCTTCGCTTAGAGAAGAAAAATCACAGAAGTTTCACAGAATTGCCGTTGAGTATTTTTCCGTTTAAAAAATAATGTATGACAGGAAGTCTGCGACGTCGCAAACCAAGTTATGTGAATGCCGACTTACACCGTCGATTAGTATCGAATTCTATGTACTTCGAGGCGTAGAATCGATTCCACGTAGTCTCGGGCCTTGCCGGAGCTTCCAGGGCCGAGAAATGGTCAAAAACGATCGTCTTTTGCCGTTTCGAGCACGCTCGAATATCCGCGATTTTCAAGGCGGGTCAACTCTTGGAGCGTTTTGGACCACAAATTCGGACTCCTCGTCTCATTTTACGGGCGACTAGCCTCACTTTTGGCCGATCGGATAACTTTCAATTTTGACCGGAAAATTTTAGTCCATGTGACCCCTGTTTATTTTACTCGATTTCCGATGGAAAAAAAAATTCGAGATTAGTATCAAATTCTATGTAATTCGAGGCGTAGAATGTATTTCACGTGGTCCTGAGCCTTGCCAGAACTTCCTGGGCCGAGAAATGGTCAAAAACGATTGTTTTTTGCCATTTCGAGCATGCTCGAATATCCGCGGTTATCCGCGATTGTCAAAGCGGGTCGACTCTTGGAGCATTTTGAACCACAAATTCGGACTCCTCAACTCATTTCCGCCCGATCGGAGAACTTTCGATTTTGACCGGAAAATTTTAGTCCATGTAACCCCTGTCGATTTTACTCGATTTGCGATGGGAAAAAAAAATTCGAGATTAGATTAGAATTCAATGTACTTCGAGGGCGTAGAACAGATTCAGCACGGTCCTGAAGCTCGCCATTTTCATGCAGGGGCGGACAATACTACTAACGAACTCCGAAGCAATTTCAGTGATATATTTTCTAATTACCTTTTGTTTTTGGTGTACACAAAATTTAATATTCGCACACAAAAAGTTCTAGGAAGTTTGATTTGATTCCCAGGTTGATTATGATTGGCTCTCAAAATCTTGGTTGCGCCTATTAAGAATCGTCTTGTAGTGCTAGGTATTATCATAACAACATATTTGAGGGTTTCAAAATAAGATCTGAATCCTGTGGTCAATGATACAAACAAAGCTAGTCTTAATGATTAAAACTTGAGGATACATTAGGGTTAAAAAAAAAAGATTAAACATTATATAGTGGGTAAGAGACCATTTAATAGAAACATGATAATATATACAAGTTTTTGTCAGAAATTACATCCTTCAGTTTCAAAATCACACTTGCGTAAACTATTCTTTCAAACTTCTATTGAATCACCTGTATAGTATTAGACTAATTTAAGAATGAACAGGACTGAAGGCTGGATGCCTCTATGTAGAACTAAAAATTCAAAAGTAAACAGTAAGAAGTAAAAAGTAAGAAGTTTGAATTAAGTATAGGTAATTTGGAAATATATAAAACCTTGCTTGATCCACACAACAATTAACGCAGGTAACTGGAATTTGAGAGACAGTAAAAAATTAAATGCTTACAAAATAACATGTTATCTTGATATTTGGTTACATGAACGTTTCGGTTGTTCTTGCCTCCAGAAACAGCATCTGAAAAAACAAGCAAAAAATTTCAGTAGATGAATACATACAATAAGTTTGATTCTAGAGGATACAGGACTCTCTTGCCATATCAACACCTATTATGGAAAAAAATGTCTTCATAATCATAAGATTCTCTGGTTCCTTGAACATTCTGTGTTAGTTACTTTCATTAATTCTTTTAATGTAAATTTCTCTACAAGGAAATATCTTTCCATACAAAACTGATTCGTTATAGAGAGAGCATATTGCAGTTTGCTTATTATCCAGTTTACTTATGATAGTGACAAATTATTCGTTGGTTCCTTCGAGTCGAGATGGTCATAAAGAGCAATGAGCTAACTGCGAGTTTTCATCCCTTTACCATCAAAAGTATTCCTGTCCCACCATGGAGCCAATCTAAAGCTACATGCATTTGGACCAAGTCTGACAAGAGAGAACCAAGTCATATTGAGATTGTATCAAGAAAAAGAGATTTGAACTTCTGTTCCTTCAAGACATTCGAGGTTGAAGATGAAGTTTATGGCCTATTTGTGCATTCTACAATAATTATCCTTAACCTTACATTTTTCACCGGACAAAATATGTGGCTAGTTAAGCTAAAATTTAACCAACTCAATATCTCTCTTAACTCATTTTTTTTCAAAATAAGATTTGGCTCCTATTTATTTAATCCCGTCCGTACGATTGTACACCAGAAAAAACTCCTTATTTTGTGAGTATCATCAAATGATCCTGTTCATAGAAAAAAGGACTCGAAGCTGAAAATAGGAAGTTGGTACCACTACATTGAGGAGAGTTTTGCGACTAGTTTGGCATGTAAGTCAAAAACCAAAAATTACAAACTAAATTAAGTTGACAACGGTTTGAAGATCACAGGTGAATAAACACACTTCAGAGTAAAAGCTTCTTCAATTTTTATCTGTCATATGCAAGGCTAAAACTTTACTTTGCGCGACTGAACACCCTCATGCAGCACCAAAAACAAAACGAAATTGGACCTGAAAGTTAAAAACTTCTGCTACATGCATTAACATCCCCTTTCCAAGGGATGGTCACAAATGGATTACATTTTGAAATAAGGAACCACTATCAATGACTCTCCCATAAAGGCACATAACAGCATAAGAAAACCAATGGCATGTGTGTTGTTTCTAAAATGGGACAGAAATAGTGATTCCTTATAGCAAAATGTAATCCAAATGATGAATACAGAAAACCCATTTCTGAGAATAAAATATTCAGATTGGGTGAATAAATTAGAAAAGGAAGTAACTCACCCTCGGGAAAAGCTATTAGCGTGGGGAAATAGATCTTGAGTAACGTCTGCGAACCTCTGGAGAACGGCTGCGACTACGAGATCGGGAGAAAGATCGTCCACGTCTTGGAGATGGTGACCTAGACCTTAAAAAAAAAAAAAAATTGTTAATATGATAGAGTGCAACTGTCTCAGCTAAGAGAGGGAGAGATGGGGGAATTTACCAGAGCAATAATCAATTATTTTCAGTTAAAACAAAAATCACTAAAAAGCACCAATTCAAAATTTGTACGCTTAAATCTATTGTGGTTGAGAGACTGACTACGAATTGGATGAAGGCAATCTGTGACGATATGCAAGTAGATGCTTTCAACGGAAGTGACTAGACAACCCAGATATGTTAGGAGAAAATTATGACTTTGGGATGAGAACGGAGACTCATTGTGGAGTCATTTTATTACTTGAGGCACAGGATTACAGCTGAAAAACGAATTATATTTTCGAGTAAATTTTATTATGGTTTGTAGTTACTATGCCTGAAGAAAAAAATTGGCTGACTTATACAGACAAGAAATTTTAGGACTTTTGAGGTTTCCATTGAAAATTGATCATTCCAATTTGAATTTTGTGGTTAGAGCTTAACATAATAATAAACCGATAGCAAAGTTAAAAACAGAAAATTAAAAAAGAGAGAAAATTGAACTCAGTATTTAAGACAGTAAACACATGCAAAAAGTTTGTATTCACAATTGAGATCTCTGATACGTATTTCACTCAAGATCATCAAGATGAAAGGCTGGCTCTTTTCAACCCACACATCCATTGGTCATCTGTCTTATACACCCTTCTTTTTAGTAAAAATATAATTCATTGATAAACTTATTTTTTTGGTATTGGAATAAAAATGTTTCGAGTCTTTAAAATTGACAGCAACGTAAACGTATAACTTAATTCAACTGCATACAAGCCTTAGACAAAAATGCAGAGGATTAAAAACGATTATTAACATTAAAAAGGGCACTTGCACGGGCCAAGAAAATAGTGCTAAGCTCGTGTAGAATGGCTGAGCTGCAAATAAAATGTTACTATGCAATAGACGTTTTAAATAAATGTTGCTTATATCTGCTTTTCTAAATTTCAAAGAGTTAAATTGGATGGGAAAGATTTCCCTTACAACAACAAAATTTAACTTTGCTGTTTCTTACCAGAGCAAAGGAAAAAAGAGAGAGAGAGACAAAAAATTGGGTTAGGCCAAAAATTAAAAAATTGGTAGAAATGACATTTGATAAAACACACACTATGGATAACATTTAAACTGCAAAAATATAAATTCACATGGTTCTTGCTTCAAGGACTAAATGACACTATATTACATTCGTGTGTACTTATGAAAGAGACAGTGATCTCAAACACATGCTAGTTGTGAAAGATCTTTAACGAAAGTACATAGGCTATCCGAAAAGCTTTTCATCGGTGCATGAATTTCCATCGTAACCCTTTATCTAATCCCACTTTTTAGGAGATCTGAAAGCTTCCAAGCAATTTTTGTCACTTCCTAACTTTTCCTGATAATAAAGATTAACTTGCAGATGAAAAGATCTCTCTTTAACACTAACCTACCGCTGTCCCAAACTTGTATGATGTTAAAATAAAAGTTCTTAGAATTTAGCTACCAACGTGTGAATTTCAATTAAGATAAGCACAACGGCAACCAAACTTAGTTTTCCCGTGTTCTAACTGTGAAAAGTGCCAAAACATGAACTTTAATTGCATCAGACAGAACTTCTTAATCAAAACGTGCAAGTGACCTTAAAATGGTAAAAATTACGGCTAATTAAGATTTACGCACCAGACCTGACGTACAATAAAGGATGAGATATTAAGTAGAATGCTTTAAAAAGATGATCGGCATGAAGCATAGCAGATGCAGTTTCATCTTAGATGAATAGACGACAAGTCGAGTTATTGATGAGACACCAAGAAAAAACGGAGGCTAAGTTGGTAAATTTTTCGCTTCAAAATGAAGAAGTTTGCAATTCCACCGAAGCACCATTATTGACTAAGTGGAGAAGTTTGCGATTCCACTGTAGAGCCAATAGCGACTATTCGAGAGGAATGCACTCAATTTGGAGGATGGTTGATTGGAGTGCGCTGGCTTCTCAGCAAATAGCAGTTCAGATAACAGATAGGAAGAATTTTGTGAAAAGGTATCTTGTTGATGGGTGGTTGGATGAAATAAAATCCATGTATTTGGGGGGAAGATCTCGTATTCGTGTTAACAGATGTGTAAAAGTCGTGAGGAGGATCTTGGCACATTTCCTGCAAATTATGTGATAAACCAATTAAAATGTGTCTAGGAAATAGTTATCAGGGTTTTTTTTCTTGACTACTCAATCCATCACTCTGATCAAAGCATAACAAAAATCATGGTAAAAAATGCGTGGCAAAATCTAGTGCAAACACTTCGAATCTAAGTTCTTTCATGCTCTGCACTTGACCAATTCTATCAAAGCCACATGCTGAAAAACGATTTCAGCAGCAAGATAGTACCACTCCTTCACTTAAGAGCTAAACCAGATTATTGTAAGAGACATTGTGTTGGTACACTCAATAACATAGCAATGCTAAGGACCCCTGCTAGCTTTAACTCCTTCATTTTTATCTACATTCAATGAGTAATCCCATCTGCATGTTTGTTAAGTGAACCTGGAGGTTAATAGTAGTTAACGTATGTCTATGTACAAAATTCCAAAACTGTATACTTGGTCAAATTTGGCGTGGCAAAATACATTCGTACTTTTAATGCAACAAACAAGATATTTTTGGAATCTTTAACTCTAGATTTGGAAAGCAATATCCTCTGAAAACTTTTGAGTGATGTTAGACATGTAGGAGAAATAGTTAAATGTCTGTAAAACTTACTCTATTGGGTTTATTTATTTTATATTCTCTATTAGGCTGTACTGTGGCTGTTGTAATAAAGATTATTGATACGATTATTACATGGTGGAACCAATTTTTCTGTGACAGATAGGTAAATTACGTCTTTACTTAATTCTATTGGACTGAGAGATAATGCTTATTGAATGTAGATATGTAGAAAGGTATGGCGCTTCTGACTTTATCTAAAATAAAAAATAAAAATGACGACACACTTTTAAAGTTTCATAAAGTAAATGAAAAATATTTTGCTTCATCACAACCAGCATAGTGACGGATAAATGACTCTTCATGCTTCCAGTTGACATTGTTACGAATTAGACCAATTCTTTTCGTTTGAGCTTTAAAGTAATGAAAACAAACGCCCACAGAATTGATTGCAGCCCTGATACAAACTTGTCTTTTGTGTGGAGACAGAGATAAGAAATGGAAAGTGAAGCCTTGAAAGTTCAAGAACTAACTTTTAATTTCAACATAGAGTTCAACCTTTATTTTTACCTTCAGAATTTTTCAGTTTCTGCATTACCTTCACTGAGGTATTTGTTTTCAAAATTTTCCACACCCTTACTGCACTCATTGGTGCTCTTCACACTGATTTGAACGAAGTACAGGTAATGTTTAGCTGTGCTAGAATAAACATCAGAAAATCGTTTTTTGAGGTCTTTAAGACCATATCAAAATTAAACTTCAAGAAAACATTTAAATTACAGTTTGAAGTTTAACTGAATGCCTTCCTTTCAAAACTGCTCTGAAAAAATGAAAAGCTTATTTTATTTATGGTGAAAAAAGGTTCTCCTTAAAGGTATCTTTCCACGGTTTTTTCTTTCCATTTTAAGTACATAAAAAGTAAGCGACAATATTGTTCATTGTAAGAAGTGCCAGCTCAAAGGTTTCAGGATATTCATAGTGCACCGTTAGTGCACCAAAAAAGTTCAAATTTTTGGTTAGAGGTGTCATGAGCAAAATTGACACTTATTTACATTCTGTTTGCAAACAATCGCAATGCAGTCGTCTGATAGGGATCGAGGATTGACTACCATCACAATCGGGCCACAGTCAATCCTCGATTGCTATTGAACAATTGCATTGCGATCGCTTGCAAGTAGAATGTAAACGATTGCCAACTTAACTGACGACAATAGGGCGCTTTAAGGAAACTGACAATGAGCAACATTCACCAAACAACGTATTCCATTTACTTAAAATCTTCAGCAGAATTAGTTCTTATTTTCTTTCTTAGAATTATATTTTTTTTTTTTTTTTTAGAACCCATCACTTCACAAAACACGTGATTCAACTGTTGTCATACCTAGGACAATGGAATGATCTGTAAATGGTTTCAAATGTCTCTTGAAAGTTTTAGTGAATATTCTTGTAATTCTTTTGAGTCTCCTTCATGATATGAACACCCATTAATGACCAAGGAAGAAATTTGTCAGGTGAAACTATACAACACATTGAGGTCCCCCTGGCTTCTTTCAAATTAAGGAGATGGACAAAAAACTAAACGGCTAATTACCTGTATTTGTATGGACGTCTTTCGCCTCCTCTTCCGCTACCTCCAAATCGTCCACCACCACCACCGCCTCCACTGCCGCCACCTCGCCTTCTGCCGCTTGAGTGACCTGATGACATTTCTACTCGGATCCTTGTTCCGCACAATTTTCTAAAAAAAATTATTTTCAAAATCGGTTGAGTTTCAAGTCTTTTGGAGTGATTAGATTCATCACTGAAATTTTATCATATTTCGATGTCATAGACGCATTTAGTGTGACGTCACATTTCTATTTAATTTCAATATCTCGAAAGTCGAAATGTGCCCCAACAAACGAACACAACGTTTGTCCGAAGACTAAGTATTATGTCACGGGCTTAATACATTATCATTTCTTGTGAATGTGGTCTCAAACGTTTTAGAAGATGACTAGCTTTCATAATTTTACTGTCCCATGGATTAATGTTTTAGTTTTAGGCTAGTTTCAGCATTCTTTCATCAATTGTTCGTTCTGGAGGTTAAGTTTGTTTTTTGGGGCACATTTTGACTTTCGAGATATCGAACCAACAATATCGCTCCTTGACGTCACCACTAAATGTGTTTATTTTGCTAATAGGAACTGCGATTTCTGGCTCATTTGTTAGAGCACTTATGTGCATAGGGAAACTGAAATACCTTCGTGATATTTTTTGTGAATACTTTAGGATGAAAGAAGAAAATTAAGAGAAAACTTAAAGACAAACTTTTGGTTAATTTACTTTAAAAAAAAACCCATTGGCAGAGAATGAGTCTGCTGAAAGCAAGGGTAGCAGTTAAAGGAAGATTTTCTGGGGATGAAATCATGTAAAAATCTTGATGGACACATCGAGAGTCTGAAATTCACTCTTCAAAGCACAACTAGCGTAGCTTACTACACACTTTCCAAAATTTCTTGCATTTGTAGACAATTTTTTATTAAGACCAGCGATCAGATTGACTAGAAGAGAGATTCAAGGAAACTTACCCCAAATGAACAAACAATTTTGCCGTTGGACCACTGGACAAGGTCTGAACTACAAAAAAGTGTACCATGCTCTCTGCTGAAAATCTTGCATGGAAAATGATTCACACGACAAGAAGTTTTGAAATCAACTCCTGAGCAAGATATTATCAAGTATTTTAAACACATATATTAAAAGGAAATCGGACCATACAAATGATGTCATGGGTATTTTTGCCAGTTAACCCTTGATAATTGTGAACACTTGTATCTTGTTAAGGAATTACTTTCCACACTTTCTGTTGTGTGGTTCATTTTTCTCGTAAAATTATACAAAGTAAATGTAAATAACTGCGTAATACTTTCATTCATACCTTTTATAGAGGACTATTGTTATACCTACTCGTTTTCAAGGTATGGTTTCTTTTGATTTAAAACTTTTTTTTAAAATTAACACAAAGAAATAAGGAGAAACCAGAGCTATTGAGTACCTAGTGATTTCTCAGAAATGAATCTTTAGGAGCAAAAATCGAGGATACTTACGTTCCATCTAAAGCTTTCACAGCGTCTTCAGCATCTCTTGGATCTTCGAATTCAATAAATGCGAAACCTGGTGGGTTTCTGGCGACCCAAATATTACGGATTGGTCCATACTTGGTAAAAGCATTCTGGAGTTCATACTTGGATCCATGATTCCCCAAGTTACCCACATAAACTTTGCAAGCTAAATCCCAGTCTCTATGTGACATCTGAAAAAACAAACATAGTTACATTAGTGTTCAAAATCATAATTGACGGAAGCAGAGAACCATACAATGTTTCTGCATTGAAAAGTTTCAAAATTATTCTGGACAACTTTGTCTTGATTACAGGAAAGTCTATATGAGGTTAAGGTAAAAATTCAGAGGAAGTATTTTGTGCTAGAGAGGAGTCACAAAACCATGTGAAAACACTGAAAGTAGAGTATCAAACTTGATTCCATGCGTCGACTTCCATAGTCTCAAAATTGCTTGGTTAACCTGAGTTCTTTGATTAAAAATTACAAAATTCAATTTATTACACTTGGTTTCAATGCAAAACTGAATGAGGAGGACAACGGACCTTAGCTTCAACTTCCAACAAATAATGAAATAGGTGCTAACTCAGATATCGACGGCATACGTACACAATCACATATCTCGTTTGCGGCGTCTGAAAATCTCTGCCTCTATATTATTTTTTTAAAGAGAAAAAATGGACAACATTCTTTGATGTTTATGCAGAATTTTCTTTGCAAAGAGAAGAAGAATCATGGCAGTTTTAAAGAATAGCCGTTGAGTAGTTTTCCATTTAAAAAATAGAGTATGACAGGAAGTCTGCAACATCGCAAACTGAGCTATGTAATTGCCGACGTACACCGTCCATATGTGGCTGTAGCACTTGCAAAATTGAATGAATGATCCAAAAAAGTCTTCGACACCTAGGTAGAGCTCGCGCATCGTATGTTGAGACAAACGTCAAAGTATTGTTTATGTCACCATTCACCAGTGGTGCCACCTGACTACATGTATTAACCTGTTGAGTGGTGCGAATTCAGAGCTAATCGGAGATTGACGTTTGTCTCAACATACGATGCGCGAGCTCTAGAGCGGCCGCATCGTACGTTGAGACAACAGTCAAATATTGTTTAGGTTACCTCTCATTAGTGGTGCCATCTGACTGCATGTAATAACCTGTTGAGCGGTGCTGATTCGGAGGTAATCAGAGATCGACATTAGTCTCAACCAGGTCTCAACATACGATGTATCTGCTCTAGCTAACATACTGATTGAGGAGACTGAACATGAGAAATAGTATCTGCTAGATAGCCTGGAACTTATTTATTTGCACTTAATTATGCATCGATGAAGAACAAAAAAGAAAGTCAACATGTGGTTACCATCAAAAGTTCGGTTGATGCTATGTGAATCTGCAGACTTCAAGAGTCAGAATCCATCACCTGGGATTCCATGCTTCACACCGAAGTCTATCACAAAGAAGTTTGGTCCAAGTAATTTGATGCAACTATAATTTCAACTCGTCATAAATGCATCCAAGCACTCTCATGATTTTGTGCAGTACCTATGAGTGAGTTGGGCATCATATGTTTCCATACGGATTGCGTAAGTTCATAAACTTCTTTGGCGTGGACTCAAGACCATTTTACGTCACCACATTGATGGTAGAAAAATGTTTTCCTTTCAAAGCAGTTTTGGTGCTTAAAATGCATAGTTTAAATTACAAAGTTGTGGATTTTCAACTTTGCCCCGGCTAATGTAGGCCATTCACAGTGAGGGATAGATTCTTATGACGGAAGTATAAACATCAGTACCACTCTTCAGCGTTGGCTCAAGCCATCAAGACTTCATGTACAGGACACGAAGGGTGACTCTGAATGGGAAAAAATTTGAAGTACAAAGCACGAGAGAAAATATTGTGAATGCTCTTTGTAAGTTCCTTCCGAACCTCAGGGCCAGCACATTCAAGATACTTGGAAGTTGGAGGCCAGGTGCAAAATTAGATTACGGGTGGAACACATGAAAAGTTAAGAAAACAGTGCGTCGCCACCATGGTGATACAAAGATTTATATGAGGAATTTGGTGAATGAAGTAGATAACATACCGTCGAAAAGGCGAAATGCGTCGGTAAAAGGCGTCGCTGGAGTAGATGAACAGACCAACTTTAAGTAGGAATATCGGTGAATAAAAATGAATGGGCAGTAAAGTGACGTTTCTGTTCTTGTTGCACACAGTCTTAATGCCTCACTTGAGCAAAATTAAATTGAAATGAAAGTAAAAAATTAAAAAGACGGACAATCATGGGTTCATGACAAGCTGCGGTTTTCGGTCGGTGCCTGCGTGCGTCTGCGTGAGATGTTTGGAGAATGAATAGAGGTGCGCGCATCTGATTTGAACATCCATCTTTAAGACTAATGACGTGAAGTGGGTACATGCCTTGTGACGTCAATCAGATACGAGATACAACTAAAAAAGTTGACCACTTACTTCTGGAAAGGAATGATTATTTAATTTCTCTCCAGGAAAACTTTCTTGAATGCACAGGCTTGATATGATAATAGAACTTTAGGAATTTTTATTGAAAAACTTGGGAGTCTTCTTAAAAGAAAAGTGAGCAAAAAGACACTGTAATGTTTGGTGATCATATAATGCTCCGACTTTCTAACAAGGCTTGAATGATCTACCCTGGTAGCAATGACTGTTAAAAACTTTTAAAACACTATTAAATTTCAAAAAGACACCTCTTAATATAACTGTTAAAATGTTTGTATTAGGAAACCCTTTGTAGATATTTTCTCAGTAAAGTTTACGAACGGTAAAATTTTAGAAAAAGGTGTTAAAAAGACTCTTAAAATATCAAGTGTACCTAGTTTTTCAAGTCGGAAAATATTTGAAAATTTTTTAAAATACACTACAGTGATATTTTAAGACTATAACAACACTTTTTTCCTTAAATATTTTTCCCCTTTATTTTCTTGTAAATTTTACTTAAAGAAGTAGTGAGAAAGGGTTTCTTAAATACGAGCATTTTGACAGTTTTTTTAAGCGTTTTTGAAAAATGTTTTAAAGGGTCACTGCTACTAGAGCTGGTTTATTAGAAATCAGTAGGGGGCCGTCCATAAATTACCTAACACTTAATGGGAGGAAGTGCCTCTGAGCCTGCGTTGCAGGAAAGGGGGAAATAATAAAAAAATCCGATTTTCAGGTTTATGTGATTTATGAACGGCCCCAGATACCTAGTATTTAAGAAGAGATACAACACGAAGTTAAAATCCACAGTCTTTTATGACTGAAAATTCAGATAATTACCCACAACTGCATTACCAGGTAGCTAGAGCCTCTGGGATTATCTCAAGGGAGGCCATTTTTCCTTTCAAGGATAATACGAAATGCCCAGCGGGCCGTTTCTTAAAAGCTTAAAGCAGCCCTATACGACATCGAAATGCGCTACATTGCATGGTAAAGATAGGGTTATGTCTTGTCTTGATGTACTGACATAGTTTTGATAATCAGTGCGCAGGTTGATCGACAAATTTTTAGACTGTAAATCAAACACTACACAAATGCACGCATGTAAAAAAATTGAAATGAGCTCAAGACTTCACTATGAAAGCTGCGGTCATTTTCATACCAAGGGTCATAAACGGTAAAAAAAAAAGCAGAAAATAATATTATGTAAAGTAATTTACTTCTATTTTAAAATTTCTATACAGTTAAAAAAGTACAAAATTCTACATTGTAGAAAACATTATGTGTGAATAGAGAATGGTTAGTGATAAAGAAAATATATTATCTACATTAGTTTAGAACCTATCTATTTGAGCAGGTCAAATCGACACATCAGACATTCCTATCAAAATTTAAAATGAAATTTTACAAATCATACTGTCAAAATCGAATGACTGTACAGAAAAGTAGCAAGCTGAAAATGCTTGCTAGCGGTGGTACACAATTGGTATAAAACACATTGAAAGCCTTAGCAGGCCAAATGAACCATAACTGTATTCCAAGCGTAGACTGATAATTGAAATTGATAGGCCAAGTGACAGACGAAGTACCTACGTAAACAGAAAATTAAGCGATCCTATTGGTTGAAGCAAGTGGTTGACATGGACAAAGTAGAAAAGCAATAGACTAACTAACAGCAACTCATGAGAGATTCTATGGTTAGTCTATCATTTTCCCCTTAGTCTAAAACAACCACCTGTTTCAACCAATGCGATCTCTGCACTTTCCTTATGTCTATAGCTTTGATTATACCTTTGTCTATCGATTTCAATAATCAACCCACCGCACAGTGTGCTCATACCCACTCATGAAGATAACGAGTAAACCTGAGATTAAATATACTGTTAGTTAATCAGAACTATTACGGTTATGAATGGTTTGAAGTGAGAATCTTACTTTTGTTTTGGCATCTAATAATACAATATACAAAATCACGAATAAGTTAGAAATACAGTGAAAATATTTTGTACAGTAAAATTTTAAATGTAAGCTACTAAAAAATGTCTCTGCTTTCGACACTTATTTTTGGTGAGGAATGGAAGTATAGTAACTGGATAAAAGAATTGTAGAGTTTAGGAGCGACTTAAATTTTCTTTAGGCAACCCTGAAGGTTTTTGCAGGGAAATCACAGAATTTAAAAAATAAAATTCCTCGGCACATCTTTGATTTGCCAGCACATTTTGAGAGAATTCAAGAACAGTTAAAGATAGGTTACAAAGACATATCTGAAATAGTTTTCCAGAAAAATTTGCTTTTTGAAACTTCAAACCAATTCTAGAAAGCAAATATGACTCAACAATAATTCCTTGACACTTGCGCTGATTTCCCTGTCATTTCCAAGTTTTCCCTACCTTTTTAAAATTCCCTGACATTTTCTAATTTTCTCAGTATTCCCTGACTGTGGCAACTCTGTTTTCAGCATCTTTGCAAGAGTCAAAAAAGTTTAGATCTACACAGTTAGTGATAACTGATGATAAGAAACCCAAGAAGCTTTAGGATTATGTTAATGAAATGTAAGTATTTTCACTCATTTACTCTAAATTTCCTGTTTTATATTTGGTGTTCTTATTTTGGTGAGAAAGTGTTGAATAAAAACAGAATTAATGTTGTTAGACTAAATATCTGATGAATAACGAAGCATTTTCAGTTTTTTTAACATAACTTAAAATAGATAAAGCTGAGAGAGAAAAATTTTTTTACAAATCATGATACATTTCATAAATATTTTACAAGATACATTGCCTCAATTTTTGTACAAGTTGACGATAGTTGGAGGTTTTGGGAACTATCGACGGTACTACACAAATAAAAGCGCTAGGAGGGTGCTCAAAGCGCTTGAGATTGATCAAAACTCAATGTTTGTTTCTGAAGATGAAATTTCATTCAGGAGATAAAAAGAATTCTACTCAAAATTCCTGCAGCTCTCCTGAACGAAAATCGTTCCGCAAACGCAGCTGAATAATGTCTATACAAAAGCAATGGTACAATTATTAAATGATACAGAATAGCTGTAATTGGAAGACACTAGGATAAGTAATTTTCTCCCTTTCCTTAGAAATAATTGAAATATGAGCGCTCACAAGAAAAAGCACCTCAGTCCACCCGCATACACAAAATTTTCAATAGGGAGATTTTCGTTGCGGAGGATCAAAAAATCAAATTTTGAAAATTTGACCGAAAGCTCTGCCTGAGATCCTTGAAAAAAGGCTACGAGCGTTGAACTACCTTATTGTGCCAATTGAGGGTTTAAAAAGGCATTCAATTCCGGAACTTTCCTATTCTAAACATGGCAGATCAGAATCGGCCACTAGACAAGGTCTGAAGCAGAAGAAAACATCACACGTTTACTTTTCAAAATCTTACATAGAGAAGAATTCACTCAACGGGAAGTTTTGAAATCAGCTCTTTAACGAGATATCAACACGTCTTTTAAAAACAGATCAAATGGAAGTTTGATTATCCAAATGATGTCATTTGTGCTTTTGCCATTTGACCAATGTTAATAGAGAACGCTCGTATCTTGCTCAGGAGTTGATTTACAAACTTTCCGTAATGTGATTCGTTTTCCTGGTGGAATTTCGAAGAGAAAAAAACACGTAGGGTTGTACTTAAATACACACCTTGTCTGGAGGCCCTTTCATCTCAGAATAAATGTATTCAAACTTTCCTCAGTTTCGTTTGGCATTTTAGGATGCTTTTCATCCAAAAATGTTCGCGGAAAAGTCATCCATGTACTGGTATCAATGACTCGATTTTGAGATTCTGTGGACTGAAATCCCTCTTCTTGTGGAGTGACAAGTAAGCAGTTTACATTTGAGAAAGTGAACTTGAAAAGCAATTTTACGCAAGTTGCTTTACACTGAAACTACTTGAAATCAAAAGCGTTATAAGTAGCGGAACAGGAATAGTGACTAAACTGGAAAAACACATATACTAAACTCGGCATCCACATACCTTGATCACAGTGTTTCTAAATTTCTATTATTTTATTTTTTCAGAAGAGGATGAGACAGCTTAGTTACTTAAAATTTTCATGGAAAATCCCCAAACGGAGAAAATATTTCATGAAAATGTTCGCACTTATTAGTCTTTCGATTAAGACTTACCATACAATGATAAGTCAGCAATGTCACAAATCAAGATACGTGGTTTCTGAGTTTAGCAATTGTAAACTTGATCTTTGAATATGAAAACAAATAATTAGTTCTCGCAATAAAGCTTCTCTGTTGGATTGTTACCCTGTTTGAGCAGATATGCTCGATTTTAAAAAAATGGGAAGGGAAACACTAGGGGGAGGAAAACAGATTATACATATTAAACAGAGAACATTGAGTAGAAAAATAAAACAGTTATAAATTAAAAAGTAGTATTGATACCTAAGATTTTTTAATTAAAACTTATTGTGAAAAAAAAGAAAGAAAAAAAAATTCAGAAATTGATTTTCTTGAGAGAAGTGAACAACATAAATTGTTGGTTCAATAAATATTGCAAAAAACCAAACTTAGGCCACATAAAAACAATATTTTATAATTTCCTAGTATTTACAACTTTCAACAGCCATAGGAAAGGATTCCAATAAATTTATAAAAATCTCTAGGGAAAACCGATGTCCTTTGACAATCTATAAATGCAACAAAAAATTTGATAAAAACAATGATAACGATAGACTTTGTCTGATTGTGGGAGGAAATCACAGGAACCGATCAAAAAGCGCCGCATGAGGTTCAACAGTTCTCCACCGGATCTAACAATAGTGCCCAGTATCAATATCACTGCAATACTTAGGAAATTACCTGTTTCACATCGTGATACATCTGACAAGATTGGAGATTCTTCAGTAAAAATGAAAACTATGCAAATGCGCAGTTGGCCGGTCATTTGAAGAGCAAGTTTTTAATTTGACACAAGTTATTGCATGATTCCATAGAAATTGATAATTACTCAAATTGAAAAGTATACTGAAGCTGAGGTGATACGCGAAACTAAAAGCTTAATTCCTATGCCGCTCATACAAAAAGACAAGCGGTGGTATTCACTTTAACGCAACACCAGGATCAGATTGCAAATTGCTTTTTGAGCAACATCTAGTAAATATTTTTGCAAGCTTTGCAACTAACATAACGCATGTTGAGAAATTTTCAAAAATGAAACAATCCAACACAATAGACATAAAAATCAAATTGCAAGAGCAAATACTTTCTACTGGTTTGGATTGCGCAAAGCGACTTCTGAATCATTCAAGCGCTGGTTATGTCAAAATTGAAAAAATTGTGGCGACAGGCAACTTTGACTTGAGTGACTAGTCTTGATTAAGTAATAAATCATACAATTTTATTCAAATTCTAGTTTTGACCAATTGCAAATATACCTACATAAAATTGCTGAAGATTCAAGACTTAGAAGTTGATCAGATAATGCACTTAGAAATTCAGCGAATACTTAACAACAGACTTAAAGATTGACTTAGTTCATGGTTCCAAACACTGGATTATGCCTACATATGCTTGGTCCAAACTCTTCGTAAGCTTTCTTCGTGTGGCACATTTGGAAAAATTCGGGCTGTAACGAAAGAAATAAAGAGATTGTGATTCAAGGCTTAGAAAAGCTAAGAGATAAAAAATTAACAATGATTTTTAGTTTGAATAAAAAACAGGTACCAAAGAGAACAGTTTTAACTCCAATTCAGGCTGAAGTCTAGGGTTCCATACTGAATTAAAACTTTCACCCTTGAGGACCCTTTATAATTAATTTAATGCACTTTTGCTGGTTTTCCCCCTTTGCAAATCCGGTGCAAAAAAAGTAAAACAGCCTCCCTCTTTGAGATTTGAATATTAAGGGGCATTCACTTCCTATTTCCATCAAGTTTTTCAAAGAACGTTGGAATAAAAATCTTTCTCTTTCCGATAAATAATGCAAATTCCATAATTTCGAACATTAAGTGATGCTGAATTCAGATAGGGACAAAGTTGCACAGTTGCCAACACAATATGATCATTTAAAAGAACTACGCGATTGTGAGTCAGATAAGATATAATATACAATTGTGGTAATTTTGAACTTACCGTTGAGGCATACAGGCTCCCACCAAAGAATACTGCATATCGTTGCATCTTGTGTGAAACCACTTGAACATCCACAGGTTTTGGCTGGAAAAATAGAGAGAAATATTAACAATCATTAAACTTGAGCATTATGATATTGAACATAAGATTATATTCCCAACATTCATATTAAGTTTTCTGATCTCTTAAATTGGTTTTGATTGAAAATTCTGGTTCTTTTTGCGGAGGTTTCCTTTAAAATCACAATACATTACATAATTATGGTTTTTTCCTATACTTCCTCTTCACTACATGTACAGTTTTTTGTATTATCTTGATCGTCTCTCTATTTTGTATTTCTTTTCCCGTTCAAATTATTTCACAGGCACTTTCTGAACAACCACAATCTGATTTTAAATTGATACTCTCTCATACATGAATTTTTCTCTGCTCTAAGGTTTCAAGCAGGTGGTAGATTTTGTCATTTTTGTTGTTCTTCTCCAACTTTCATTTTTGATTTTTGAGTCTTTTAGAGAGACTGATTCAATTGCGCAATTTTAGAAAACAGTCGTAAAACATTTGTATGAGATTGCACTCGCAAGGTTCCTTGCGAAATTGATGTGCACCATTGTGTTTGCCATATAATAGAACCTCGCTAAGTCAGAATGCATCAGGACCAAGCATTCAGTCAGAGTTAGCAGGGTTTCCGAGTTAAAAAGACTTTGTATTGTTTCGTCTCGCACTTTCGAATTTCACGCCAAAAGTGCAGCAAAACTACTCCACGTCGTAACAACATGTCGAGCGCTCACAGCCACTGCTAGAACCACCAAATAAAAAGCTCTACGCACTGGAAAAGGCGACAGGAGGTAGTATTTCAGTCATTCATCTAACTTTAATGCCTCCTAAAACTGTAAGGCATACATCAGTGGAGGAAGCTGTAAAGTTATGAGATAGTGCCCGGCAACCGGCAACCATCGATCCCAAGAAAATGCGGCATGAGTTCGCACTTTGATCTGTTGATCTTTCTCTTGCACAGAAGCTGACCGATTGACGCTGGGCAAATGATTAATGACTTCTCTAAACGGAGGGTGCGCTGATGTGACGGAGTGAAGAGGGTACGCCAGAGGCATTCAGTTCATTTCAGTTTTCCTCCTGCCTTTCTTTACATGAACTATGATCCTGCATTTTCTGCAGCCCTGCTGCACTCAAAATTCTATTAATAGCAGGAGGCACTTAGGTTTTCTGACTCTGCTACACATGCATTTCTCTTGAGTGGTGCAATTCTTGAGGGCGTGTTCACTATTCCATTAAAGATAGGTCCAGTCTTTTACTGCTCACTCTTTTGACAAGGGCAGCAGTCCAGATTTCAATTCCGCTAACCTCAGCATGCAAACTTTAATCCTAAAATGAAATTGATCGCTTGAATGGATGGATTTTCTTAGACAATGTAGATACACTTAGTTTGTGAGAATGTGTCAAAGTAAAATCGTCACTTCTCTAGTTCAAAATCAAACAAAATAACTTACTTTGATATATCCCCCACTTAGGGTTTCACTTTGTTTCAATCGGGCATCGACAACTCGTTGAATGTCCCTCTGGAGCCTTCTATCAAAATCTCGGAACATTGTTGATCCACCAGACAGGACAATATTTTGATACAAAGAACGGCGAACATCGATCGGGCAGTTTTGAATGACGTTATCGACAATTTCAGATATTGGTGTGTTGAAATCAGGATTTGAAAACTGATGAAACAAAAAAAGGTCAGGGTGTAGAAAAAAATATCACTAAAAGACAAATAAATGTTGATAATTTTCACTGAAATGACGGGTAGTGACTGAACTCAAATTATCGTAATTCCCAGACTTTTCCGATTTTTCAGACAGATCCTTCATTAATTTTTGCAAAATTCACTAAATATTGTGGATGTAGAAAAATCTTTCTAACTTATAGAACATACTAAAACTTTGAAAATAGAACTTTTAAAACAATGGGTGAACCAAATCGTTAACCACCTGAATTCTGAGCATAATACTTTTTGAAAAAAAGAGAAAAAGTAAGTGCGCTCAGAGTTTTTGTAATTGACGACTGCGTGTGCCCAAAATTCACTGACTTTTCATTGTCTACAGAGAAAGTAAATCAAATCAACAACTAACTAACGCAATCGCTTGAGGCTGTCTTCTCATCAAATGAAAACATTTCCTATCTTCCAGCAAAATGTCCTGATCTTCCCGGTTTTTAAAGCTCTCTGCCTTTTCAGGGTATTCCCAGATTGATGCCATCCAGAATAGGTATGAATGAATAATTGGCAAAATTTCTGCTAGCTGATTGAGTTAGCTGAATATAAAAGATGGGAAGTGCTAAACAGTGATTAAGAATTTGTAGTGGATTCCATGAAATTTTTTTCACCAGCCAGAAATTGTTAGTAGTCTACTTCCCCACTGTTTTACACCCGGATTTTTTTTTTTTTTTTCTTTACTTGCGGTGACTGAAAAGAGTATATATTTTAATTCCATTTGCTAGAGGTCTACATATTACGATAAAAATTTGGAAAATAAAATACTAATGATGAACTTTGTCTTATTTGAGCAAAATGATCATTTATCCGGAGTTTCAATTCAATGATACACCCTTTCAAGTTCAAACTGATACATCTAAACAAGACATGTGAAAAAAAAACTCACCTCAGGATGGAAGAAGATTTCAGGTCCTAGAAAGCGTTCATACCCTACATCAACACTGAATGGAACTTTTGTGACAGAATTTACACCTTCAAATTTTTTCGTCCACTTGGCAGGGTCAGAATCGTATTTTGCGAACTCTCGAGCTATATCTGGACAAACGTATGAGTACCTTTCTTTGATCGCCTTGGCTGTTTCTAAACTCTGCTCAGGAGGGATTCCAACCTCCCTCTCTCTCAACAGAGATTGAATGAAATATGTTATGTTGCGACCAGCTATCGGTATGTGTTTGATACAACTGCCAATAACATGACCTTCCGCCTGGAAGAGAGAAAAAATTGTTAAAGAAAAAAAAAGGCATTAAGAAGGTCGACAGGTTGGTATAAACTTCGTTCCTATGGGAAACCGACAACTATGAGGTATTCTAAGTCTTCTGACTTCTTCAAGCACCAAAAACTAAAATGAATATCTTGCAACAAGGAAAACATTGCGAGTATATACATGCAGGGAAATTTGAAACAGTCCTGATTTAAAAAAATCATCACTAAAAAGAAAAAGTTTTCTATTCTTTTTTCTTTTCTTTTGATTATATACATTATACAGGAAAAACCTGATTTATTATGGTAAGTACATTTTTCATCTTAAACTACAAATACAAGTGTGCTTTCTGCCAAAAGAAACATTCCCGCCAAATAACCCACTACTCAGCCTTAACATTTCAAAAACCTCTTTTCTCCTGACCTCACATTTTTCACAGAATCAGCTGCTGTCAGCTAAACGCATATGTTTGGCACTCCTGTAATCATAAATTTTCATGACAATGGACCCAAAATTTTCCCTGACATTGAAAAAGAACAGACATTTTGTTAAAACTTCGGGTGGCTGTAGCCGCATAAGGTTTAACTTATTCAGCCATGTTTATGGAGAAAAAGTCTTATTTGGACCTGAAGAATCGGCTTCTAAAATCAAGTTGGTTAAACCTAAGACATCTCATAAAGTGCCTTAGTCAACTTCAACAAGGCTTTTTGGCATTAACATGGAAGAGATTTTGAAGACCTGGGCATCATAAATAACTTAGTTCAACTTACCACGGGTATAACGTGAGTTACTCCATCACCACTGTCTACGACAAGACCATTCAAGATAGCAGCATTTTCTGTTTTCCTATTCCATGATGCAGCAAGAGCTAATACAGCTTGCACTGCTATGTACAGCCCAGGAACATTGAATGACTCGAACATAATTTCTAGGCAAAGGATTGAAATAGTATCACCAACAGTATTTGTAACCCTCTACAAGGAGCCAAGTTTGTATTAAAAGTCAAGTTTTACTATTAAGACAATTCCCAAAATTCAAACAGAGCTGGAGTTTTTAAAAAATTGAATTTTAGCTTCAAAGTAGAGCTCTAAAAATTTGAGGAAGACATTTCTAGGCTGGCCTTTCTCTCAGGAATAGACTACGTTTAAATTAAAATTGATGGTTTTCATGGATGCTGAATATTGGTCAGACAGTACACAAGGTTACAAATCTGGAAGTCCAAAACTTTTAAAGTTTGTTTCACATCAGCAAAAAACGCACAGCCTAACAAGACAAATGTTCTAAATGTTCGCAAATGGACATTGGACCTTGAGAGGAGAATTTTCCTGACTGCTGTACTTACGGCAAGCAGATACCTAATTCTAGCACCACCCTGATTCTTTTTACCCAGTTGAATGTGTCAACTATAAGTTAGTATAATTAGAAAAAGCTTTTGGGAAAGATGGTACTCAAGAAAAGTTTTGGGAGTGTAAATTTATTACCCACTATGAATATGTTTTTTCCCATTTTTTAAATTCATGAATTACTTTAAACACATACAGAGCATTTGAAACTCTAGTCTTTTCATATCATTGCACTTCTGTTTTCAATCTATTGACCTTAACCCTTTTTGTGAATGGGAAACAATTACCTGCAAGGTATTCACGATTTTCAGGCGTATTCAGGGGCACAATTTTTTAAATTCATGAATTACTTTGGACAAGAACATTTTAAACTCCAGTCTTTTCATATCATTGCAAGTCTGTTTTCCATCTATCGATCTGAACCACTATTATGAATGAAAAAAAATTACCTGCAAGGTATTCTCGATTTTCAGGCGTATTCAGGGGCGGTTCTGTGAGAAGAAAATAGTGATCTTCCGGGTCGGCACGAAGATATTTAAAAATACATTGCTCCAAGAACTTTTCCATTAGATCCCAATCCTCAACAAGACCATGCCGCACTGGATACTGAAATATATGAAAGAAAACTCCATTATAGGTGAAAAAGGGTACGAATGAATCTTGAAGGAAGTAGACTTGAGCATCTCACATAGCCTGGAGATAGATGGTTCATTCAATCCAATAGCGCTATCAAAGATGAACCATTCTGATCGAAACCTTGCCCTCCGCATAAAGGTCCACTTATTCCTCCTGGACCAGAATACACACAAAATGCTCATTAGAATCAGGGCATATGCTGGTTGCTGTCGAGGAACAATGGAGCACTTTTTTGTCGCAGCCAAGCTTCACTTCTTTCCTGTATACCTTTAAGTGCCTCTTCTTAGTATACAGACTTTCATGGTCAAGCCTTTCAGTTTTGTAAAAAATTACTTCCTTAATTCATGTTCTTCCTGCCAATTCAGTCAGTTTTTTAGAGCATAATAGACATCGGCAAGAGCTCTTCTTTTTGGATTCTCAACTCACATTTAGTGGCACTTCAAGGCATGCTAAATGTTTGGTGGATCAAAACAATTTGTACACCTTTCTTGTGACTCTTGAAATTCTAAAAACACATTTGTCACTGGCATTTCAACGATTTTACAGAAATGTTTTAAAGAACTTGATCCTTGAAAGATAAAAGGCTGCACTCCTCCAACAAAAAGTCACATTTACCTGGCAGTTTAAAGGGAAGGGAAGGTTGGGATATGCAAGGCCCTTCCTTACCATGTCTGCAAAACTTCGTTTTTCTACAATTATGTAGTCGTTTTTGCTATAATTTTCTTCTAATTTGGCACTAAATTGCATTGTCTAAATGCTTAAGTGTTGCAAAAATAACATTTCAGTCTGGAGACCTTGATTTTGCTTACCTTAACTGCATATCCTTTTGCATTCGTGGCTTCATCACCGATGTAGAAGTCTAAATCCTCCACTCCTTTGGTTAATCGTCTGATGGACTGTTCACCAACTTTGGCTGTTTCTTTAATTGCGATGGCAGACGGGATTATAAACTGGGGCTCTTTGTTACAAGCAAAACCTAATTTAGTGTACCTGCAGGATAAATTAGATAGCAAGCATTAAAACATATTACTTAGTGCATCATCTTCATTACTGTAAGCTTTGGTTCTATAAATTTTCAGTTTTTGTATCAGTTATAGGAGATCTACAGAGTTGATTTCCATGATTCCACAGCAATCAATTTTTTAACAGGCGCTGGTGAGGATAAACTCATGGTGTTTAAAGTTTGGTACTGCAAAGCAGCCCTCTCTTGGTGCAGATGCTGTCAATTAGAGTCAGGCTGCGTGGCAACCAGGAGGGGGAGTCCCTAGTATGGGCAAGTAGGCGAGCAGGAACACTAGGAAAACTCCGGGTCGGCCAGTCAATGTTGAGAATGATTTTAGACTAATATCTTTCCTCTGCAAAGCAAAAATAAAACTAAAAAAGACTGCAGCCTGATTGTTGAAATTTATTTCGGCACGACAAGAATCAAAAATCGATCTATTACACGGCGCAGATAGGGCTATGTCTTGTCTTATCGTTCCGACATGGCCAGTTAAAGTTTCGACAATCCGGCTGCTGGTCAAGTAAAACCGGATCGCAAGAACGATGCTGGTTCAAACCTAGTAGAATTACCCTAAGCATTTTGCAATTTTTTTTGTTTTGATTTTTTTTAACAAGGAAAATATGACATATATTGACTAATGATTCACAGAAATTTCCTAACTATAGGATAGTGCCAGGGAACTGTTTCATTTATGGAATGAAGAAATCAATAAAAATTTTGCAACGTTGGAAAAAACAAACTTGATTCAACTTTAAGATTTCACAACGAGGTGATTGCTGGAGTAATCTTAATGTTCAAAACTGGTACCAGTTTCTACATTGGTATTCAGCTATCTACTCTGTGACTCACACCCTGAAAGTGTAATTTAGAGATAATGCAAACTATGAATGAATCCATGGTTGCCATCTGTGCGACTGTCAATATACAACTGCCATGAAAGATACAGTATCTTATCTTCTGAAAAATTCGAACGGGGCCATACTTGCCTCAACCACGCATTGCTGCTTAAGGCTATAAAATTACCGCTGAAAACGTTCATCAAGAAAAATGGCAAACTAAGGATGGTAATACTTCTTATCAACTTTCATTGCTCTAAGCATGGAGAGCAATGAGCCAATGAGGGCAAAAAATATGAATCTACATTTATAATTTCATGTATCTCGAGAAATATGTTCTACAAGTGCCTTTCAAGATCAGTGTCAAATCAAGATCAATATCAAACGACATTAACCTCCCAAATGTGGCAACACTTAACAATGAATCATGGAATATGTATACTGATAATAGGAATGTCAGTAAAAGGCAAGTCAAATACAAAGCTCGTTTAAAACTAAATGAATAAAGAAAAACCATAATTCTGAGGATGAGATGCAACGGTTATACTGCTGTTAGGCTGACAACGAAATAAAAATATCATATTCAGGAAACGTTTGGTTCAGTTGAGATAAGGCTAACCTTGCAGAATCCTATGTTTGCTACGATCATTGAGTTCAGTACGAACATGTCGTATCGAAGTTAAATGAAATACGAGAATGCTTAGTTTGGCAATCTAGCAGAATATGCAACAAACTGTGTCAACAGGAGAAATGATGGGAACAGTGGAGCACGTCTTGATGTGCCTGGTCCCGATATCTTATCATTAATTATCAGCAGATGAATTTAGCATATGCACCGTTTTCCTTGCAGTCACATCAGGAAAGTTAAGGAAACTGTATGATACGGTCACAGAAATGAGGCCTGGGGTTGTTTGAGCCTCGCAGAAGGGAGGCCAACACCCTTTCGTAAACAGACCTCAATGTGCAGTATGTAGAACAGTTTCAGGCGAATTAATATTATAAAACTGCAAGTCTTGAGACAAAAGATACGGAAGGTATTGTACATGAATGCCTCGCGAAACGATAAATGTAAAGGGTGGAGAAATTAGCCCACAGAGAGATCCTGCCCTGCTATAAATGGTCAAGGGAGCATGACAGCTTTACTTACCCGGTCCCAACGTCAATTACACAAGCTGGTAGTCGGCCGGTCATGATTAAATTAGATGAAAAACTGAGAAAAGATGCGGCTGATTGCTAATCAACCTATTTTCTGCGCACGGATGAACTAAAATAATTGAATAAATAAGTAATCAATTGCTTTTTTATCACCAGAGCCACCGCGGGGATTCGGGGAAACCGTCATCACATCACGACTGGCGATGACTGTTGACCTCCACTCGGTGGCCAACGTTTCAACTAAATTCAAAATTAGCCCGCCCAACACCAATAAAAAATGCCGCACCTCGTTCGACTGATTCAAAAGCAGGAATGAATTAGTTTCTGCTTATTTTTTACCCTTCAAAAACATATGGTCGATGAAACTATGAAAGCATATATTGTGATTGCGGTGTTTCAAACTTTCCGCTCCAACTTTACTATCTTGGGTGATTGTTTCCTGACATAAATGTAAAAATTCTTAATGAATACGCTTGAAAACGAGAGGAAAAACCACATCAATTTTGTACAATAATGGTGATCGATAAAAATTCATAAAAGTAGTATTGTAGGATACTAACAGAATATGCTTCATGCTAATTTGTTGTTACTGTAATATTTTCATTTGTTATTGACCTGCATAATGGCTGTAATTGCAGTTTTTACGTGAGAGCGTTTTTAAAATAAAATAAAATAACAGCACTGCAATTTTCCGATATCAACATCGATTAATTTGCCTTTTGCAATGATTGAAACACTACCAGAGAAGACTGTGGAATTTTAAGAGAACAAAAAATGGTTTGCGATGGCAAAATAGTTTTGGTTACCTTAAGTAAAACAGTGTTATAAGTAAAGTAGTGCCTACTTCAGTCTTTTTAAATAGCAAAATTTGAATGAAAATTTTGGCATAGCATGTCATTGTACAGGACAATTCCAAAATCTTAGAACATTTTTTTGGCCACAAATACCTAGGTACGAAGGTCTGAAAGCAACAGTCGAAAAATGATGAAAGGACTACGTGCAAAACGGGCCATTTGAGGCTCGGGGCGGATACCTTTGAGACTTGCCCTATTCATTAACCTAACAATGCCCCATCTTTTCCCAAAGTTTCAAGCCCCCCAAAAATTTTGGGGAGACGCGGCGAAGGGTCAAAGTTAAAAACCAGCAAAATTTTCGCGAATTTATTACTCGAAAACCAAGAAGTTTTGGAAAATGCGGTTTAAACGAGCGTATTCAGCGCGACGAGAGCTTTCAGAAAATGTATAACATCATAGGGTTTTGTCAACTTCAGCTCGAATTATCGCCTCCGAAGCGCCGGAACGCTCAAAAAAGACCCCTTATTTTTTCACGTTTGGGCCGATTTAAAAAAAAGCCATTTTTTTATTTTCGTGAAAAACTGATATATTGTTCCTGACTCTCTGTAGCCCCTCTAGCTCTTTACCGCATGCTGGGGAAATGTTTTGGTCGCGAGTTATGAGAGCGGAAAGGAGCGAAGGTCGGGAAAATCGGCTATTTTAAACTGCGCGCGGTGACGGATTAGGAGACATGTGGCAACAATGCGAGGTCGGCAGAGGAGTGTGATTCGCCCAACTGAGTGGGAGGGGACGTTTTCCCTCCGATCAACGCCGCGCGCGCAGTTTAAAATAGCCGATTTTCCCGACCTTCGCTCCTTTCCGCTCTCATAACTCGCTACCAAAACATTTCCCCAGCATGCGGTAAAGAGCTAGAGGGGCTACAGAGAGTCAGGAACAATATATCAGTTTTTCACGAAAATGAAAAAATGGCTTTTTTTTAAATCGGCCCAAACGTGAAAAAATAAGGGGTCTTTTTTGAGCGTTCCGGCGCTTCGGAGGTGATAATTCGAGCTGAAGTTGACAAAACCCTATGATGTTATACATTTTCTGAAAGCTCTCGTCGCGCTGAATACGCTCGTTTAAACCACATTTTCCAAAACTTCTTGGTTTTCGAGTAATAAATTCGCGAAAATTTTGCTGGTTTTTAACTTTGACCCCCCGCCGCGTCTCCCCAAAATTTTTGGGGGGCTTGAAACTTTGGGAAAAGATGGGGCATTGTTAGGTTAATGAATAGGGCAAGTCTCAAAGGTATCCGCCCCGAGCCCCAAATGGCCCGTTTTGCACGTAGTCCTTTACTATTTAATTTTGACACCCTATGAATAAATAAATGCCTACCTCTTCTGCTGGCCAATTTCCTCAAAGTTACTTTTAACACTACCTATCCTGCGCTCGAATTTTAAAGGATGGAAAATAAACACAATTTCTTTTTTTAAGTTTTTTTACCAAATCTGTCTTGAGAGGAATTTTCCATAGAATTTTGGGTAAAAATAATTCACGGACTTATTCTTTCACCCAAGATGCGGAACTATCTGAGATATCCTTAAATAACAATCTCAGGTATTAACATGAATATTTTAATCATTTTGCACAGTACTTCAGTAAGGTATAATAATTCAGAGAAAAAATATTTTTTTCCTTCACAACTTTATTGGAAATTTTCTACTTCTTCAATCAATTTATTATAGGTAACTTCTTCACAACATAAGTTTTTGCGATTATCAAATTAAGCTCAAACTGAAGATGGATAAAAATACTGCTTGTCATTAAGACACCAAGATGGATTTCGGTGAATGAAACATACCTAAATAAGAAAAATTTTTTATTATAATTTGTGATGAAGTTAGACAAAATGTGCTTTGAGGTGGGGGAAAATTTTGAGATAACTTTACTATGGCTTAGGAGGATTATTTCTGCATACTTGGCGCAACTAACACCCAAATTCCACCAATTAACCCACATTTTGAGGACAAAGAATGAGAAATTCAAGAAAAATGCTGTTGAAGCTTCTCGATTCTGCCACTACCCTTAAGAATAATTAATTATGGACGCTCATGACATCATTATAATGGCTTGAAAGAAGCTTTGATTCAATACTCTGGGAAGTATGAGACATGGTTTGGCATTGACAACTTAAAATCAATATTTTTGACCGAGGCAGGGTTTTTTGCTACACTGAACAGCCATAAGCAGCAATTTACCTGACTCCATCACATCTTTCATGAGGTTTGGATTCGTTCAATCGAAATTTCGCAAATAATCAAGACTAGAGAAAATCATAGCTAGAAACTTATTATATTTTTGAGGCTGAGATAACATTTCAAACATCAAACACTTCCCACTTATCATGTACACACATACAAGTTTCCCAAACTCAAAAATAAAATGGAAAAACAGGAAACAATATGAATACAGGAACAATGTTCATTGGAACATGAAATACGGTTCAAACCATAAGAGAAGATACAAAAAGTGCTATGTATTAAGAAAAAACAAAAGCCTTCAGATGGAAAAGTGACGGCAGTTGACTAGCTACAATTAAAAAAGAGTGAAAAATAAAATCCTTTGCTCAAACCAGGTGAAATGCATTGAAGTTAAACTTTTAAACCTAGAATTTAAACTGAAGTATCCATGGTAAAATTTAAACAAAAGAGTAGGACTTTTTTCCATTACTTTTCATGATAAAAGAGACTATTCTCTGGACTAACATTTACCGGGGTGCAACTCCAGGGCCCAGCAGTGCCTGTAACAGGAAAAGAAACAATCAAGTTAAAAAGTAACCTGAGAATATTTTCAACACTTTAAAAACTGACCAGAGTCGTTACACAACTTGTGAGTTGTTTGCCAATGATCAATTGACAAAAAATTTAAAATCTTGACCATCATAACTATGAAGGTGTAAAAATATCTGTTTCTAATGATTTTTTGAAGTCCTTCAGTTTTTTGTGGTTTTTATCACTGAAGCAAATTCTCTATTTTCCAATTTTCCCAGTTGCCATGAATCCTGTTCAAACTTGTACAATGATAAAATTTTGCTACTAGCAGACAAGTTAAAAGTACTTGAGTTGAGGTTTTTTCTTCATTTGAATATAAGTGACAGTCTGCGGGAAAAGGGACCTCGAGCTTTAGAGGCAGCAATCCTAGATGAAAGTGTCAACGTGGGCCAAGAAATAGGATTTTGAAATGATGACTGAGGATATTCTCTAGTGATCTAAAGATTTAGTTGTCAGCAGTATGGTTCATTTTTCTGTCAATAAAAGGCTTATTGAGGGCTCCCTGTTTAACACAATCGCATCAAATTCTGTTTATTGGAATTTCATTTTGGATTTTCCTAATTTTTCCGGATGACATCAAATTATCAAACATTTTCTAATTATCCTGGTTATCATTAACAGTCAACTTCCTGTTAAAATGAGGCAATTTTGTACCCCATGCATGTTATTAAAAGAATTTTCAATTGCTTTTCCGTAAAGGTACATTTCTTGAACTCCAAACTTCAAACTGACAAAACTCCAGAGTAATTTGAAATTTGTTTGAGTTTTTTGTTCCAAATATTTGTGAAACACATATCTTAAGATGGTTCTTAGTAATCTAAGGACTAGATCTACCATTACTTTGCACTGCTACACGATTAGTGCCTTGGAAAAACAATAATCATTGTGTTGTAAAAATTAATCCAAGAAACTAATCCATGACGTGTAGCAGCATCAATACTGAGAAAGGTGACATCAAATTTTTGAGAATTCATTGAAAATTTATATTGGAAAAACCACCATAGCGGACATCACTCATTGACTCGATGATAGATTTAATTTACGCAGATTGTTCACTAGATTTGAATTTGCTCAGGATGATCTTCTGCTGTGCACAAGAAAAATCCTTTCAAATATTACACGAGACAGAACAGGTAGACGACTAAAGATGGCAAAAAAATAATTTAATCACCTGTTTCTGTTGATATTTCTGAACTTCTTCCATCTGGCAGCGTTCAATTTCAAAAATGATGGGAGCGACTAATATAGTCGATGAACTGAAGAAGATCCACGCTGATAATCGTGAATAATGGTACAAAGCTGTTGGAGAAGAGAGATTTGTATTAGAATAGAAAAGGAGAACAGGTGAAATGTTAACGCGCATGGCAGTGTGTGTCATTTCTTTGAGAAAAAATTGTAGAAGATGATATGATGACATGAGAATGTCAGCAGTGCTGAGCAAAAACCTCAGAGCTCCACTTAAAATTTGGCGAGTCTTTTCAAACATGAAGTTTCATGGGGAAAAAAAACTGAATATCTGGAAATAATGATCATACTTTCAGCTAACATACTTCATTTTCTTCGGTATTTGCAGTTATCCACACGTGAGTTCTACCTTCCCTCTAAAATTTTAGGAGCCTCCTTGACGAGAGAGCCTAATTTTTTTTGAACCCAAATAACTTTTAGCATGCACTATGTCATTTTACTCCGCAAGTCTGACTTAGCCTAAGCTGAAATTATTTGCATGTATTGACAAGTATACTCGTCATGGCGTGCCATCTCGCAGCGTTGCTGAGCGATTGTTTTCGTCATGTTTCTCCAAAGTTTTCATTGTTCTAAACATCATCTGGAAAATTCTGTTGCTGACCTGTAAGAATCTTGGTAATTTATTATTCCATCTGAAGCAACAAAGTATTTTTATTGACAAACAAATTATGTTGCTAAGGGTGATCGGCAAATTTATAATGACATGTGGATGGGTTAAGCCTCTAACACAAACAATAATTTTGGCAGTGTCATCCTTCTTTGTTGATCATTTTCTGCACAATTTTTTTCTTAAAATACAATGAACTTTGCACTTTGACCTTTGATTGTCATAAAATCTGAGAAACACAGTTATCAATTTACATGGTATTAATTCATTTCCAGTTATTTAAAGTAGTACTTACTTTTGACAAGATTTTGGGAGCCCTTGCAGAGCGAATGAGTCTTATTCCTGAGTCCTTCGGGGAACATCTCTGTTAAGCCCCATAATCTTTCACTCAAAGTTTCATCTTCGCAGTCCTGTGAACAGAAAAGTTTAAAAGATAGACATTAGAATCAAGTTATGAGAAAATCATCATTCCATCAGAAAACACATAAAATTGTCCATATCTGAAATAGCTTTAAAGCTTTCAACAAGACATTTAGATTAGGGATCAGTTGCGATTATAAATTTCCTTCGTTCGAAGAGTTGCAGATATCTTAAGTACGGACATCGAGTGAGCTAAGATTGTTCTTTCATATACTTCACAAATTTTTGTGGATATTTCTGAATGAGGGAGAAAGAATCAACTATGTATCAAGAGAGTCCGTTGGTAGATATTCTTTTGAGAGAATATGATATGAGCTGGAATTTGCAAAGTCTCACGTGAAGCTATGTATTTAGTTTCGGACATTTAAGTTAAAAGAAAACGATTTCAAGAATGGAATTTTCAGTTTGACTCCCTGAAGAGTTCCTCCTTTCAAGGCTTCTAGGCTGTATCGTAAAAATGAGCCTCCTGAAGCAGTCAGACAACGACATTCTACAACACTTTCGCGAGCCAGTCCACCTCCTATCGTTGTCTTCATTCATGGGAAAAATTGCTGATTCAATGAAAGTTTTAGTCATACGGAGCGAAAACCACGGGCTAATTTTATTCTATTACAGGTACAGTTAAAGCGAGTCAAATGAAAGCATGCTTCGACAAAAAGACAGTTACCTCATCCAAATCATCGTCGAGACTTTCCACCAACTGGGCAGTGATTTTTTCCGGAGTTAAGTCTTTACTTCCTTCGTTCATTGATTCTAATCCACTGTCGAGGTCCTCGACACCAGCCATTAGAAAACTTACTTGAAAGGAGGAGGAAAGCTGAAGCTACACACTTGTACTGCTTCAAAAACTCAAAAACAGTGAAAGAAAATTGCGGAAAAATGACAGTGGCTAACCTCACAAAATTGGATTGGATGCTCATTGGATAGCGATGGATATTCGGTAAACAAAACAATCTCTGACATTTTCTAACCTAAAAGTCGCGATTGCCATGTGGGAGCATGGTGGGAGCAGGATATCGAAATGAGTGATGTTTGTGCTCTGTGGACTGAATAAATTTTCAGGTGTAATTATTTAATTCAAGCCCTTTGTGATTTTTCCTTGCCATTAAAATTTACCTCTGTGTCAATTTGTCCGTTTTCCTCTTTTTTAATCACGATGAGTTCATCCTCAGACGAAAGCATAGATGAAAATAAAGTGATAGCACAATCGGTACCAAAAGGACGACCCAAACAGTGGCCTTATGTCTTCAAAACTTGGAAACCTCATGATAAAAAGCTGTAAGTTTGTTTTATTTACCTCTACCTAACAATAAGTATTCTTTTGGACCAATCTTATTGCACCGTAAGATCGCCAGTATTGTCCAGCAGGAGGATGAATGTGGAATGTGACCAAGTTAGGCCATCTAACTTGTCTTTTAGAAGCGTATTTTCATTGATGATTGGTCGAGCCAAAGTAATGCGGTCGAATGGCAGCGGATCATACTCGGGATTCTAAACATTTGAGGTATGGCTCTCGAATTTGATGCTGGTGGAATGCCATCATCTACATCAGGTCATTTCTTAATCCCACTTTTTTGGGTCCACTATCGGCTCTAACGTTTGAAAGAATTCCACCTTCTATCTGTTTGGTGAGTCCCGACTTGATTCCGAATAAGTATGATCGCGTCAAAGCAAAATACGAAGAGCGCCACCCATCCAACCATTTTGGCTCGACCTACCATCAACAAAAATACGCTTCTAAATGCTACTAATATTCAGGAATTTCTTGATGCTCAGTCAAATCTAAGGGGTGTTCTGCTGTTTTGTCAAAGGATTGCACCTGAGGTTTGTAATCAAGTTTCATGATGACAAGCAAAATGCTGCGCAAATCTTGGCAGGGACTTAGCAGGTGTTTAAAGTGTTTTGTGAAGCACAAGTGACGTGGTCGAACTGGCATGCGATATATCACATCGATCAGGTGAAAAACCTTGGCATATTTTGACTTTTTATCAAAAAAAAGGACGACAGCCCCTGCGCATCAGCCTAAAGAATCATTCTAAATCCAAAAACCAACAAAATTCAGAGAAATGAAAGCAGAATAATGTTTGGAAAAAAACCTTGCATTCGGCACAGAAATCAATGGCGGTATCAAATGCGAGGTTTTTTTCCAAACATTATTCTGCTTTTATTTCTCTGAATTTTGTTTGTGTTTGGATTTAGAATAATCCTTTAGGCTTATGCGCAGGGGCTATCGTCCTTTTTTCCTAAAAACTTAAAATCTACGGAGATTTTTCACCTTATTGCGATATATAGCATGCCAGTTTGACTACGTCACTTGAGCTTGACGAACCACCTTCCAAGTCAACGGGTCAAATTTATCAGATGCTATGAGACCAGTTGAAAATGTGTAGAGCACGTTCAGCATCCTGTCCGAAGAGAATAATCTCAATGTAAGCATCTTGGCAGGCGCTTTTTTTCTTCGAAGTTGGCTCTCTGAAGAGCTTTCTTTTAACCATGGAACGCTACAAACTGGAGAACTTTTGAATAGCCTTTCAAAAGGTTTTTTGTAAGTCATGAAATGCGTTGGGTTCCCCTAACACGATGTTAGGATTGTACATAACTGTTTGGTGGCCTTCCAGAGACATACAGACATCATGCTAACAGCAGGAAATGAAGTCATTGTTTTGCATTGTTGAAGGTGTCACTGCCAAACTGGGGCAATTTTTTCAATAAGAAGATGGAGGTATCCAAAGGATACGACCTTCATTGTACCTATCAATCTTGTCAACATAGATTTTTGGAGTTTAACCACTTAATTAATCTAAACCACCATAATAATAATATTCAGTGAAGCACCATGATGCATCTAAATGAATATTTCTCAGTTTGAGTTTAAAGGTTTTTCCTTGATATTCTTCGCTGCCAGGAAATCGGCTGTTTCCGAGAGGGTAGTAGAAACTAATGGGAGTAGCACTAGTGTGTGCAAACATGAAAAGTCAACAGTTTTCATCTGCTGTAAAAAGACTGCTTTTTTTTATGCTGTCTCTTGGGAATTTTCCATAGATTCTACCCATTTCTATGCGTTGAACTTTCAAACAATGTGTTCATTTTCTTTTACAGTATAATTCCTTTTCACTGTCGTAAGAACAAGCCCAAGTACACTGCAGAAGAAAGGCAAAGGATCAAGGATGAGAAGAAGCGCACAATAGAAAACCAGAAAAAACTGCAGGAAAAATTACTTAAAGCAAACAAGAAGGGAACAATACAGAGGAAAGAAAGAAGAAGAGAACGATTTGAAAAAAGAGAAATCCGAAAGAAAGAGGTGAGAAAAAATTTCATCATCTATCTAATAAATGAAGATCCATTTCCCAGCCGAACCTTTAATTGATCCAATTTTTCTCATGATCAATGGTTAAGAATTGTTGAAGAGCTCTTTCAACTTTTGGCCTTACATTAGTGGTCTATCGAGTTTTTTTTGGCAGCATGAAGAAATTTATCTACCAAAGTTAAACAAGAATTGAACCGCGTTAAGCAGAAAGGAACCAAGTCACATCAGCTGTAGCCAAATTTAATTATGCACTTTAATTTTTTACGCGGAAACTCCTGTGCGGATTTTTGGGCAAATTTCAGTGAATTTTTCGCATAATGCAAAGCAAATTCCTTAAAATTCTCAAAAGGATCCACACAAACGTTTTCTTGTAAAAAATTGAATTGCCCCGTTAAATTTTGCAACAGCTGGTGTGGCTTGCTTCCTTCCTGCTTAACGCAGTTCAATTGGAAGTGTTGAACAAATACTGACCAATTATTATAAGTTATTTAAATTATATTTGAAAACTAAAAAGATTAAACCTTGTCTCTGGCTATCCCTTCTACCTTTTTGAAGGCCCTTTGGCGATTGCCCTGAAGAATGAGAGTTACACATAGGAGCAACAATCAGTGATGAACAAAAAAAGATACTCAGTGAGTAACAGTATGGAGATTAGTGCTGAATCCGCACTATTCGGCTGGGAAATCAAATCCACAAAATTACAAAAATTGTGATTAAAGTCGTAGAATGAGCTCTAATGAAAATCAGTGTAAACTGAGAGGGGAGATTGTTCAGTTAAGACAGATGTATTTTTGCACTTAATTTCATCAGAGTTCATTTCATGACTCTAATCATGATTTTTGGAATTTTTTGGCTTTAATTTCCTTGTAGAATAGTGTGGACCTAGCACTGTTCTTCCACTCTGTTACTAACAATATTTAGGTCACATTTTTGATGCTCAGAGATAAGCAAGAAATCTCTGCTCCAAATTAACTCCAAAAGTTTCTTGAGTGATAATATACATGCTAACTGTTACCGTTTCAAGCAGGTCCGTATAACTTGTTTAAGGCTTAGGTATCATAAATGCTCAAAGCTCGAAGGAATCAAATTGAATTTTTTTTCTTTGAGTTAACGCCATTGCTTTTCAGTAAAAGTAATCCTGAAAGTTACTTAAACTGAATGCAGAAAATCATACCTCACACTTTAGACTACTTTTTTTTATTTTGGAAACAACATTGTGGCCATTATTTTTAAAAGTTATGAAAATAAGGGAAAGAAGGGTATTTTATCATAGTCATCAATCAAATGGCCGTGTCCTTGTTTCAAGTGAAAAAAAGACTCATTCAGTTATCAAATTCTGAGTTATTTTCTTTAAAAACTAATTGTTCCACCTTTACATGAAGTATAAATTATTGTCTTTTCTTTTTTTCAGGTGGAAAAAGAAGAAAAACTTCAAAAGATAAAACGCAAATATGAAGAGAAAAAAATAGACCCAAAGAGAGTGATCAAGTTTGTTAATAAGTCCCTAAAGTTAACTAGCCATAAGTAAGTAATTAATTTAAAAAATGCTTACATTCAATGAATCAGAAGGATTTTGTAATATTCTGGTCACTTATCAAGTGAGTTGAAGCTCCGAATTTTATTGGCAATATTACAGCAACAACAGGATTGTAGCAATGTTTCAAAATCGCATTGTTTTGAATCAGCATAAGAAATTGTTATAATTTTCGCAGGCCCTAATCATGCACTACATCCATCCAAGTTGCTCTATGGTGTCAAATCTATTAGGAGAGATCCACCAGAATTGCGTTCAATCTAACTTTCTGTTGTCACTATCGAAAGCGCAATCTCAAGCAAGGGCTTCAAGTTCAAATCGAGTTGATACAATTTTATGAGAATGTTGCCTGCAGTCGTGGTATCATTTAGTATACCTGTTTTTTCTGGTAGGTTCAAAAATTGCACTACATACCACTGGCTCAAAAGTCCTACAAAATGACTATCCTTACGTATTTTTCTCTATTTCTTGATAATAAGATTTTGGAAGTCGATAATATGCTATCAATACATGTGTATTGCTTCAGTGTTATAAAGTTATTGCGCCTATTTGGAATCTGCTCAATATCAGTATCAGTTTCCAAAAACGTAAAAACTGAAAGAAAGAAAGAGTTATTTTGTATTTTAAAATTTGTTTTACAACTTTTTTAAGACAACAATTTATGAATAAAGTCAGTTTGATTTTTTTTCTTAAAAAAGTTTTTATTATAAGAAATTTAAAAAAAAACCCAACAAAAACAAAACAATAAATACTAAACTAAAATCACCTCTTTGAAGTCATCCATCGATTGCATAGCATTCATAGTCAGGAAGAAATTATGCCATCCATTATACAAGTCTGTTGCTGTTTCCACTGTATCACCTAAAACAATTTTTTTAAAAAAAAAAACTTTTTAATATTCCGAGTAAAGAAATCTCAGATTAGAATAACGTTTTAAGTTTGCCATCAAGTGCTGCACTGTCTCAGCCAAGCCAGTTTCAAATTATGTGGAAGGCTCTGAAGAGGCAACGGTTTTCTCAATCAAATCACCTATCTAATTCAATGCCCAAATTTATGATGACACCCGTAAAAGCAATGAACACCCTTAACTTGAATTTTCCTTTCCTTGTTGTGCGGAACCCCCTCATAAAGTAAATAAGAAAGAATATGAATGCAATAAGAGGAGGCTCTTACCATCAGGTTTTGTAGGAAACGTTGTTAGCTCTAATGTGAAAGGTTGCTCAACATGCTTAAAAATGTCTTGTGAAAACTGAGAATGATTGAAAGGAGTTCCGTCAGTCAGTGATGTATTCAGGGTTGTAATGAAGTACTTCCACCGTGGGGCATAGTAATGAGATACAATGCCTACAACAGAGAGGGAAAAAATCACATGATTAATAATCATAGAAGAGCTCAAAGTGTAGTACAAATTAAAGAAAATTCTAAGACCTACCATCTGTAAGTATTCCCTCTCCAAAATGTATGCTGGTAGAACATCTCTATCAGTAGGATTCAAATACAACGCCAATTAAGCCATTTTTTTTTTTTATATATAAATTTTTTGGGGTTTCAGATACATGAAGAAAATCCCAATGGATCATTCTACAGGGTGCGTACTTGGGCATTTTGATACATGTCTCTGCTTCACAGTTTCATGTAGACCATGATTTGTTCCATGAAAATAATTGATATGAACTCTAAAGCAAGATAATAACGTTTTTATTTAGCATTTGTCACGGAAAATTTGAATTTCTCGCTCATTAGAAAAACGAGAGTCTACTTGCATGAAATGGCGCACTATAGTGGTTTCGGAGGCATCTCAATGAAGCAGTATCCCTTTCTCACCTTGTGTTGTTCAAAGTGTATACAACATGTAATAGCTGAGCCAAAGTGTCAAGGTTGAGGTTCTCATATTTTCTTATCGTAGAGACTACTGGGGGGACATGTAATGGACGATTTAACTCAAGAAAATTATTGTTTTTTCTATGAGCGGGAAGTTTGAATTCATGCATCGAAAAATGTTGATATCTTTGTTTTATTGTTGTGAAGTGGAATTTTGTTTAAAAAAAAGAAAGAAACGGGATAAACTTACCAGACCATTGTTTGGTTGCATAGTCTAGAATCTCTCCGTTGGGGCCCCACAGAGTGATTTGGTTGCGTGCGTTGTACTCATACAAATTGGCTTCCTACATGAATTAAGAACAATTGAACCAAAAATGTAATATTCAATCTTTCGAATTTCCTTATAAAGTGCAAAAAAATATTTCCATACTACAGAAATGTGCGCCTGATAAGAATAGGGAAAATTTAGCCAGGTCTGATACATCTAGAATTAAAGTTGGCCGCATCTTTCTTGTAAAGATACTCATAATTTTCCACTGTAGGAGAAAATCGAAGTGAAGAAAAATCATATCCTCAGTTATAAAATCTGAAAGTTTAGCATTGGTATGTCCTCAAATTTTTTCTCAATTTCTAAGTCCAGTTCTACATCTGTTCTTCCTACATACTTAGTGTGCAAAAAATAATCAACTCTTGAAAACTGGTGATATATGAAATGTTTTGTCCATGGCGCCTCTTGCCCAGATTCTGGCCCCAAAATAGATCAAACCTAGGTAACTGAGCATACCTATATAGATTACAATTGTAGCCTCTCATTGCCTAGAATTAGTTAAACCTGCGACAAAAGGTCTTATACTTACCAATGGTGTGTAGCCCATATCTCTGGCAGCTTTTATCCAAACACCCAGCAAAAATTTCTCATTTGTAGCGAGAATTTTCTCTAGGTCTGCAAGTATTTTTACAATATTTTCTGCTTCTGTCCTGATAAGAGATATAAGAACATAGAATTTTATTTACAGTCAGCAGCATTAATGAATGTCATATCTTGTTTGCTTTTGGTACTCTTACGATGGAGTCGCATTTTCACTCAGCCAACCATTATCCCAGCAGTTACTCCCTCTCATCAACTAAAACTGCTAATCCACCTAAGAAAAGAGATATCTGAACTGAAATATTCAGATGATATTAATGCTTGATAGAAGCATCAACAATTGCAATTGAATCTGTCATTCTTAAAAGACTTAGGCGCCAAAAACAAAATTACAAGAAAAATAGTAGAAACTTTATTAATCGATTCGTTTTAAATCTTAGCTTAGGTAATTGATAATGTGATTACTCATTTAAATGCTTTAGTATAGAGCTCTGAGATATAGAAAGGGTTAACAAAATCGGTTTTCCTTGTATTTTCCTCTCTGGTGCTTGAGTCTTTTAGAGAATAACTGATTCAATTGTTGATGCAGTAATTTCAATGATGAAAAAAACAGATAACACCAAAATACTAATAGATTTACCGGAGAGATTGTACATTGCATTAAGAGGTGTTCAGCTTCGGCCCAAAGTTTGAAGTGGAAATATCGTAGGAGACATTTTCTCACTCAGCCCTTAAAAAAGTTGGTTTTGATTATCAATACATTGCTGATTCTTTCGATGCAGAGCTCTTTGACCTCTCCAGTATTATAAAATGAGAGTGTGGAGAGGTTCCAAGATAAATTTATATTCCTCTGTTTCATTTAAAGGAATCAAAGCACCTTCCTAGCCCTCTCTGAACTTAATATAAAAATACATACTGGAATTGATCCCGCTTTTTGGCGTCGTATGACTTTATAAGTCTTGCATAAGCCTCCTCGAATAATATTTGCATGGCTTGACGTGTAACGTCCACTACATCATGGGCGTAGTTTTTGCTTTCTCCCAGTTTATTTGAGGCGCTTATTAAATGACTCCATGCAGCCAGTACATCACTTGGGTCATACCAGATCTGGAAAAAACAAAATTTTTGATCACGTATTTTGCTGTCGACAGAGTGTTCGACTTTTCATTTTTCAATTCCTAGGCAGTAACAAAGAGTCTTATTTCCTCTAGTAGATTAAATTAAATTATTAAGAAATTTTTACCTGGGGATGAATATTGAAGCCAGGACGTCTACATATGGTGTATTTTCCATGAAGGGATTTCTCCTGAGTGTAGTTGTAGGTACTTTTCTGGAAAAAATAGAAAAGGTTAAAATTTAATTTGATTCATTTTACTTTTAATGATCTGGTTATATTTTAAGTGTAAGAAGCTTTGAAATTAGGNTTTTTTTTTTTTTTTTTTTTTTTTTTTTTTTTTTTTTTTTTTTTTTTTTTTGTTACATTTATTATTTGAGAAAATTTCTATTCATATATTGATAATCATCAACAATGAGGAGAGATTCACGAGGACATTCATCACAATGAATAAAATGATGAACTCCTACTTTTATACTTTTCTGTCGGGTATTGCTTACCAGTAAATATTTCCAACCACTGGCTGCCTCTTCGTTCTCCTGGCCATACCTTCTACGAGCATAATTCGTAAACCTGAATAATTCATAAGGAAGCAAAAATTATTATGAAAGTAACAGAAATATTTTAAGATCTTTGAAATTATGGCGTAGCAGTCTCTTTCTGTCACGACTATTCTTGTAACGACAACCCCTCTATAGCGAGGAGGTCGGTCGGTCCGTTGAATTTCCTTTACTAAAAACATGTATTTTCTATTTTTAATCGACTTAATGAACGTGGCTACAGAGCACTGACTCCTAGTTGGGTCAAATCGCAGGTGCATACCTAGGAATCTGCCCTCTCACAAGCGTAAACAATGACTACTGCCGTTTTCTACGAGTTCCCGGCGGCTAACAAATCAAAGCAGTTTCACACGCGGTGCGGGCAAGGCATTAACCGCTTGTAAATTAACAGGAGAAAATAATTAGATTTCATGCATTTTTTTTATCATAATTTTAAATAATAGTGCCGAATCCGTACGGTGTGAAAAACTTAATGATTGTAACAAGTTGGAAAACGCTGACTCAGCGAGTTAAAACTAATCGCGCCGAACACAGTGCTGCCGGCGCGGAGCGCATATTAGCGCCTACAAGACTCGGGGAATACTTCACGTATTGCGCGTTTTGCACGGCGCATACGAGGTCTGTTAGATTAGAAACCGGATTTTGGTCATAACTAGCCCACAATGCGTCCGAATTAGGTTTTCTTGAGCTTTCCTGATAGCTGGAAATATACTTAAGAACATTACGTTCACAGATTTTGTTTATTTTGATCAGTGTTTACCACGGTCCATATAAGGTTGTTCCATTTTGCTTATTTCATTATGTACCCATTTTTCAATCAGCAAACTGATCTTACCATTCAACAAGATTCACTGGTTCTTTTCTATAACCCATTTCTGTCATCAGTTCATACATAACATAATTCTGATTAATGCCCTCTGGAGTGAGACCAGTTCCCACCATTGAGCTGTTTTCGGCTGTCCGCGCGATAAAAACATTCTGAAAAAGATGAGCATTGGTGGGTCCAGCGAATTGGCAACATTGTCTTTTTTCCATTTGAACCTGTGGAAAAGTATCGCCTCTTGGAGGGGCCAGGTGCTCCGTTAAGAATCGATCATTTAGCATAGGTTTAAATGGAGAAAATCCGGTGTTGCCAAATTGCTGGATCCGCCTCTGAAGATGAGTGACCAGTTAGCCCCGTAAAAATTAGTGCAATACATAAGTCAATGAGTATAATAAGGGTGATTTATGATATCGGTAGTATGGACCACATTTTGCAACAAGGATCCACTATTTCTGGCTCATTTTAGAAACAACATATATGCCATTCGTTTCCCTACGCAGAAATGCGCTTTCACAGAAGAGCCAGAGATAGTGGTTCCTTATCGCAAAATGTCATCCATATTAGGGTTGCCAGCTCAGTTTTTAGCGTTTTCAAAGATTTACAACAATTATTCTAAGCAGAATGCAACTGTTGTTGAAAATCGTTTAAAGTTGTGGCCCTGCACTGCCGTGCTACGTAAGAACGTCGTATGAGCATTCGAATGTTGCCAAATTTCCTCATTTAAAATGTTAATTTAAATAATGAAAATTAAAAATATAATATAAACATATAAAAAATAGTGAAAAATATCAAATTTTGAAAAAAGTTATTAATATTATTGTCAAATTGAGTTGCACCGGTCTATTCGAATCGGGCGAGATTATTATTTTCGACCACATTTTGAACATTTAAATGGAATCTGAACAGCAGTGCGTGCTTTAATCTATTTAAAAAAGAAAAATTAAGTGTTTCCAATAATAAAAACTGGATTATTTTGTCTGGAACGTACCTAGTAATTACCCCTTTATAACCTGAAAAGATGACTTACATTGTTCACACTTTCAACTGAACCATGCATGCCCAGAGTTCCTCCAAAGTTATGTAACATACACCAGATAAAGGGCTGCCCAAAGAAGGATGAAAGTCGTGTATACTGAGGATTTTGTTCAGCGTGCAAGTCTAAGACGATCATAGATCCCTGCAAGATTGAATGCCAAAATTAGTGTTACCTTGCTGGAGAAAAAACAAAGACATGAAATTTCAAAAAATCGTGAAAGCCTTCCAATTTCTCTACAGACCGTCTAAAAGAGGTAATGAGGATGAAGTAATCTGATTGAGTGGATCGCGCCAAAGAATGATATCAATTAATAGGACACATTTTAAGAACATTTTATTGACTGACGGAGTGAGTAGAGGAGTACATAATAAAAAAAAAATTAAAAATTCACAAAATAGTAGGCGTCAAAACTGTAAAAAGACTTCATTTTTGTATATGTGTGAGTAATAAAGCATTTTAAAAAAACATAATTGTAAAAAAGCATGGCGCAAAAATTAGAAAGTTCTTCGAGTTAAAAGCGGTTTGCAGTCTGATGATAATTTTTAGATTGAAGTTATGAAAAGTCAACGTAGGTAATCATTTGATAAAACAGACGTTTTCGTTAAGAACAAATACTGTGGGTATATTCACTCAATACTGACTCATCGGCGGAACATATCTTATCTGCAAATGACGACACTTACTGTAGGCACTGCTGTTAAAAACGATTTTGCTCTGCTTTCAGTCCAAAAAAGAGGATCTTTATGAAACATCCAGCCCTGCAATAGCCTGTAATTAGAAAAACTATAAACCAGAGGTTTAAATCAACGGTTAATTGATGTCACTTACTGCGGGCACTGCCGTCAAAAATGCTTTCGCTCTACTTTCGGTCCAGAAAATTGGATCATTATGAAACAACCACCCTTGCAATAACCTGAAATTAAAAACCAATCAACTTGACAAAGAATGAAAACATCTACATCTTGGAACAAATTATTTTAGTAAGTCTGCTTGAAAAATCTCAATTACAATGTGGGACATTCCCGATGATACCACCATTCAACCGCGTGGGAGCTAGTGTTGCCTACACTAAAAATTGAAGGCGAACTGACATAGCGTGTAAGCTACCTCTTCTCGTCTGATAAACAGCGGTTTTTCTGTGTGATTTTTCTGAGTAACGACCGATACCCCTCTTTGACCACGCTAGAACTCAAATTCCAGCATCGACAATTTTACTCTAACTGCAAGTGCGTTAGAATCACCACTCCAAGTTAGGTATAAGGGATTTTTTGTTTCCCGAAAAGGCGTGACAGTTACGGTGATACCACAATTGGATTGCATTTCGCAAAAAGGAACCGAAAGCATTGCCATGTTGCTAAGATTGTGCGACTTCACCCTTTGCAATAAAATTACTGTAATCATGCAAATACATGGAATTTACATGGTAATGGACCACTAGATAAGGTACGAATTTCAGCATTCTGATACATGTTTCTTAACCAAAATTTTACGTAAAACACGATGCACACAACGACAATTACCGAAATTAACTCCTTACGAAGATATTTAATGATTCTTGATGCGTGAATTCAAACCACCCGCTCATGAAAACTCAATGCTCTACGTGATTCACATCGCGCGCTAAACGTTATCATGATAGTCTCTGCGCGATATAAAAATCTGGCAACCTCAATCTTGACGCTTTGGCTCAGTTATAGAAAATTGCTAATAGTTTGAACAACACATGGTGGGAGATTAACATTGCTCGATTGAGAAGCTTGCTGAAACCGTTGTAGTTGGCGATTTGACTCACGTAGAGCTTTGAGTTTCTTGTGAGCGCGCAGTTCAAATTCCCCGTAACCAATGTGAAATAAAAACGTTAATATCTTCGTTAAGAGTTGGTTTCGGTAATTTTCGTTGTGGGAATTGTTTTTTACGTGAAATTCTGGTTAAGAGACATGTATCAGATCGCTTAAATTCGTACCTTGTCTAGTGGTCCATTTTGGTGTTAAATTTATAGTTTTTAGCGTGTGAAATAGAAAATGTTCATCGATGATCAGGTTTTTCTTCCAAGACAAAAGAAGTTGCACAATCTTAGCAACATTGCAATGCTCTTGGTTCCTTTTTGCAAAATGCAGTCCAATTCGACCTCCTGGGAGCTCGTGTTTCCTGCACTAAAAATTGAAGGCGATTTGACATAGCGTTAGAGTAAACTCTTCCCGTCCGGTAACAAGCATTTTTTCGGTGTGTGTTCTTAGTGAGCGAACCATCTCACATTGATACCTATATTCGACTATGCGGGAGCTCATTTTGCGTACACCGGAAATCGTAGGCGAACTACCAATGCGTTAGGATAACCGCTACTAGAAAAATTTTATATCAATAGATCGCTCCGTACCGACTGTCGATCAAGTTCGTCGAGATAGCCGGGAAATTGATCCTTGCTAATAGATTGATAAACGAATTTTTTTTTTTTTTTGTAAAACTA